AATAATATATTATAATTAATAGAAATAGAATATAATATAAAATACACAATTTCAGAGAATCGCTACCAAGTGGTTTTACTTCCTTACAGCAACACAGTGCTTCTCCCAGTGACCTGAGCTCCTTGGGTGCATTGCATTCACATTCCTCAGAGTCACTAAAACCAGCAGAGCTGCTATCAGGGCTACACCTGCTTTGGAGATCTAGTGTGCAACGGAAGCATCCTCTGCTACTCAAGTCGTGGGTCCCACAAGCTTTAGGGGTTTCCCAAGCTCATTCTCGTTTGTATAATCAGTATCACTTGCTTACTGCACAGTAAGTGCACAGAGCCTGGATGAAACACTACAAAATAACAGCAGTGAAAGTCAGCAATAGTTAAGCCTACATTCCCCAGCTCAGCACCCGCAGGCTTAAGCCTTTTTCTCAGAGGAATGAAAAGTAACAGCTATTTTTTTTTTCCTTGAGATCTGTTCAGTCAGCGCCTGAACAACTCACTTTCAGCTTTTTCCAAAACCGTACAGACACGCAACACGAGAAGACCAGGCAGGTGACAAGAAGATCTGTATTTACAAGAGAGAATGCGCTGCGCCCTTGTCTGCAAGGTACCATCACCCAAGGTTTGTCAGCCCTCGCAGCGTGGTTGAGGGAGCCGCGTTCCTCCTACCTTTCGTTCACTCTGATGGAGAGGCGGTTGCAGAGTTTATGCACGTACTGAGCAAAATGCTCCACGAGACACATGTCATAGGAAGTCATCTGGATGTTGACGTCTCCGTACTCGTATTCGGTCCCAACGTTTATCGCTTTCATCTGTAGTCGATCCTTTCTCTTCTTCGAAGTCTGTAGTTGAAAACAAACAGACAAACAAAAAACAACACCAGAAAGAAAATGAAAAGTCTATCTGTTTTGAACAAAGCTGAAGATAAAAACCCCATTCACTCTTGCCCACGCAGGAGACCACACGAGGGTAACTCTTCTAACAAAGGTTGGCTGAACTACGTCGAACGCATCGCAGCCCATCTGCGCTCACTTTCCCTCGCTACAAAACAGGGATGACATGATCTTAACAGATGTTCTCAAGCTGAGTGGTTCAGTTCTTGGACGGCAGCACCACAGAAGTCACACAGAAAAGATGTGCATACCATGATTAATTTCTTGCAGAAGAAACCGAGGGGTAGAAAACAAACGGCTTTTTATTTCAGTTCCTGCCTTCGAGGCAGCTGTCTAGATGAGTTACTGTCTCCTCCTGCCACAAAAATTGCCATCTTTCCAAATTTCAGGGAATGTGAGAAAGTATAAATGCAAATAAGACCTGATCACAATATTCTGCAATAATTTGAGGTTGAGATGTTAAATGCAGCAAGATTTCTCCCTCCTCAGACTGGTCATTAAATTAAACAGGGAGGCAGCGGACAAAATAAAGTATCTCTGCAGTGTTGGGCGTGGGTACTTCATGTAACATCACTAAGAAAAGTAGCAGTAAACCATTGCATTATTCCTCTTTAATATGGTTCCTCAGCCATGGAATTAATACTACCAGCATTTAAATCAGACTGTGAGGATGGGTAAGCTGAAAGCAAGCGCAGTAGGGGTGTTCTGCCTACCTCCTGCGGGAGCAGGTATTTATACCTCCCGATACCATGCGTAGGACGGGCTCTGTAGTGTCTGTGGCAACTCACGAGCGCATCACCTGAAAATCAAAGCAGAGCAAAGGTGTTTCAAACACGTTAAGACAGACGTTCCTTTAACAAGCGTACACAGGTGTTGTGAGAGCCCAAAATCCACACTGAGGGCAAGAATTTGCCCTCGATTCTTTGACGGAAGGCAAAGGCAGGCTAAGGCTTTGGCCGATCTCTGCCCCACGCAGCACTGCAAGCCTGCTACAACTCAAAGTCTGTTACGGTGAGCAACAAACAAAGGAAGAAGAGATTAAAAGTGACTTATTTCCCAGGTGAATTCTCAGGCAAACAAAAAAACCACCCAGACAGGCTTGTCAGCAGGAGCGGATGGTGAGGCTACTCCAATGAAATGTTACATGTGCCTCCTCTTCGCCGACAGCAGCGATGCTACTACAATGGATCTGAGCCCCACATAATTTTAAATCCAGTCCTGTTCAAATATTCATGTGCTAGGAAGCCAAATCAAAACGGCATCGGCGTTTATTTACACTTCCTTCTCCAGGGTAAAATGAAACCCTCAATAACCCTCATTTTAATAAACCAAGCTCAGAACAGCAAAGAGAAACTGAATACCAAGGAGCTAAAAACACCCAGTTACACTTTGCCTCCAAATCAAACTCTGTTTTAAATTGTGACAGCGGACTCCCCCAGCTCAATAAACGTTAAACCTCACAGGTCAGCTCCTGGGCAGTGATACAGTGAACAGCATCTGCCTGGCGTCACCCCGGGGTGTTGACACCATGACTAGGAGTATCTGCACAGCCAAAACCAGAAGAAAAGGTTAGAAAAAAGGTATGGAAATGGAAAAGCACCTCCTCAGGTTATGTACCACGTCCAAAATAGGTGAAAAAAAATTAAAAAGGAGACAGAAACGCTGAAATGTGTAACATTTATGTTGATTAAATGAAGTTTTGCTTTGCAGTGGATTAGTAAGAGGCCTTACCTGCAGTGCACAGACAGCTTTCTCTGGGCATTGCTGCTCTGTAGGAAGCAAGATACTCATTAAAACTCTGATTTCATCTACCTACGGAAACACAAAGTATCTGGCCAATCTCCTCGAACACAGGCTCACACCCCAAGTCCCTCAGACACTGACAGATCCCATCAGCAAAGACACCTTCTCTTCTTCTCACCCTACAGCCCTTTGGGCTCCCAGACATCACTGAGAGTTTTCCCTTCAAAATTCAAAGACTTTACTTGGCAAAAAGTACCTTTTTATTGCCATGTATGTTTTCGGACACTAGCAGTAGAAGGGACGAAGCATTTTTAATACCTTTGACTGTGTTTTACTTGCTGGGTTTGATTTCAGACCACTCACCTGCTGAGTGTGAACACATGCTTTAACAACGTCCCCTTCTTCAAGCACAGCATCTGCAATGAGCCACCATGGGCAAAATGCAGAGAACGGCAGAGAATCAGTGAGTTTTCACCAGCAGTTGCCAGAATACAGAGATAGAAACAACACCTGAGACCCTCTGAAAGTGCTGATAAACCCTCCCAATCTTCCACAGCCTCCAGCCCGTCACTCCCCAAAATCTCACAACACAGAGGAAGGAGATGAAGGAGGAGGATGATGATGACTGCAGTAACCTTTTCATGCAACTTCTCGCTTTGCTTTGGGATCCCACGAGTTGGGGTGGGCAGCTCTCCTCCCCTCAGTTACAGATCCGATTCATCCCTCACACCATCCCAGCTAAAAAACCCTCGTGCTTGTTCCAGCTCCACACAGATGGAGGGAAACACAGATCATCCATCACCAAGGCAGCGTGAAGCAGAGCTTTGCAGTCACCACAACCCTGGCAGGCAGGAGCTTCATCCAGTCAGCCAGGGTGGGAATTACCAATGTTCCCAAAGAGTGATGACAGGGACAGGGAGGACCAGGAATCATGGAATGGTTTGGGTAGGAAGGGACCTTAAAGATCATCTAGTTCCAACCCCCCTGCCATGGACAGGGACACC